TAGCTAATGTTTTTCCACTGGAAATCTAGAAGTGGAAACTAGAAGATCTTTAAGGTCCCTTCCAACTCCCATGATTCTATGATTCTAAGTGGCAACTTTCACCCTACTGGATTAAGAATGTAGGATGCAATTCTCACTCTGTGGGTTGTGACAGATGCCGTCTCATTCCTTCCCTTCCATCCTTCCATACGATACGCTGGGAGGAATATAACAAGCTCTAGGCCTAAGCTGCAGCAAGAGGCACAGGACTGTGGAAAAATCCTTTGGTGGTGAAGACCACTAAACACCAGTTGTCTAAGATAACAATGGACGCTTCCATCGTTAAGTTTTTCAGCTAATGGCAATCTGGAACAGTTTTGGGCAAGCTCAACTTGCCACAGACCTGCCAGGTTCTTGGTGGATCTTGGTGCAGAAGGTAAACCCTTCCAAACTAATTTCAGTGCTACTTTGAGCTGCTGCTTTGAAATTCAGCAGTCTTAGAGGGTTGATTATTACAGTGAAGACAAGTGTATGTCATGTCACAGTGAAAGCCACAAGCCCAACAGCCATACATATCAGTGCCATCACCCTGCTCTCAAGGCAGGTCTTCAAGAGCAGTGGGTCAACATTTCAGAGTCCAGCTGACTGCTGGTTACCAGCAGCACTCAATACTGGGGCTTCTTATGCTTTCCTATCTTTGCTCCTGACCTGGATGTTAGGTTGGACCACATGGGCAACAAGTTTGTAGATGACACCAAATTGGGAGGAGTCATTCATACACTGAAGGGCGGAGCTGCTATTCACATGGACCTAGACAGGTTGGAGAAACAGGCTGAAAGGAACCTCGGGAAGTTCAATGGCAGAGGCACAGCCCTGCCACTGGGATGGAGTAACCCCCTCCAGCAAACAGGCTGGAGACAACAGGCAAGAAAGCAGCCTTGCAGGAAAGGACCTGGAAGTGTAGGTGGACAAGCAACCCAGGAGTCATGTCATGTCATACAGCAGTGCCCCTATAATGCAAAAGCCAACTGTTAATGGGAGTGCAGTCAGCAGGGCAGGGTCCTGCATCTCTGCTCAGCACGTGACAATGTCTGGAGAGGTGGGTCCAGTTTGGGTTCTCCAGCACAAGGGCAGTGACATACCAGAGCAGTGGAGACTATCAAGATGGTTTGGGCTGGAGCACACAATGCATCAGGAGAAGCTGAGAGAGCTGGGTTTGTTCAGCTAGAGAGAAGGCAAAAGGGAGCTCTTACTATTATCTGCTGCTCTGATGGGGAGCCACAAAGAGACATATGGGAAAAGCTGAAGGGCAACAGGCACAACATAAGAAATTCTGATTAGATGCAAGGAAAACCTTCATCCTTAGTACGGTCACACACTGGAACAGGAAATGCCACCATTTCTCTGGTCCAGTCTCTGGAGATGGACAAGCTGCTCTAGCTTTGAACTCAGCCCTTCTTTCATCAGGGGGGTGGACAAAGCGTCCTTCAAACATCCCTTTCAGCTAAATTACCCCAGAAGTCTCTGAAGCACCACTTCTCACAAGACCTCACACTTTGTGGGAAAGTGCATTGAGAACATGTGCCTTTCAGTTTTCCGCTCTGTGAAACGGGGCTGACGGGATTTCCTTATTCGAGCCTTTGTTGTCTAGCAGGCGTCCCGGCTAACCCACTCCTCTCAGGGTGGAATAGATGACTCAGCTCTTCAGAACCTGAGGCTCTGTCTGCAGAGCGTTCCCCCCAGCCCATGCAAACAGGAGAGAGAGAGGCACTTCTTGTGCCACACTCTGTATTTTGTTTCAGAACTCTACTTGTGATGCTGCCGGAGCCTGCGTGCTTTCTTCAGATCTGAAATCCTCAGAGCTGCCCCAAAGTTTCTAGCAAACAAACTTAACGCTTTCGTTTTACACTAGAAGCATAACAATTACCTGGGAAATCCCCCTCCCACACCCCAGAGTCCTGGCTCTGGGTGACTTGATCTCACCACATAGTTACTCAGGTTCAAGGTTGCTTTTAAAAACTGTCACGTAAAAGCCACTGGGGTCAACTTTTAAGCCAAGTCTCACTCTGAACAGCTATATGTGCTTAAATACAGAAAAAATGGTCATTGAGCAAAAGGGACCAAAAGCAAATCTCCCATCACCTCTCTCCCACTCCCCTCTTAACCCTAACGGCACACTGCTGTACCTGAAGAGACACAACCTATGAAGCCTGGAGAAGAGAAGGCTCCGGGGAGACCTTATAGCGGCCTTTCAATACCTGAAGGGTGCCTATAGAAGAGCTGGGGAGGGACTCTTTGCCAGGAAGGGTAATGATAGGACAAGGGGAAATGGTTTTAAATTGGAAGAAAAAAGATTCAGATTAGATATCAGGAAGAAATTTTTTACTATGAGGGTGGTGAGACACTGGAACAGGTTGCCCAGAGAAGCTGTGGATGCCCCATCCCTGGAGGGGTTCAAGGCCAGGCTGGATGTGGCCCTGAGCAACCTGCTGTAGTGGGAGGTGTCCCTACCCATGGCAGGGGGGTTGGAACTCGATGATCTTTGAGGTCCCTTCCAACCCAAACCATTCTATGATTCTATGATTCTAAGTGCAACCACTCTCATCCTGCCAGCCCCTGCTGTAGTTCTCCGCTGTTGCCTTTTCCAGCTTCTTCATAATCCTATAAAGGTCTTCTCACACTGAGATCCACTGATAACTGCAAAGGCACTGCAAAACTCCACAGCACCATCCCACAAGGGGATGCAGGAAAGACAGGAAGACAGTGACCGCTGCACAGCCCCTTGCTACAACTCTGGCCCAACACGAGCAGTCACGGGGGTCAGGAAAAGAAATTACAAAAAAAGACAATCGGGAGGAAACATCAGGGACCTGCACCCTGGAGGCAGAGCAGAGAAGGAACCTGTCCAGGAAAGATGACAGCTCTCCTATCTAAATACTTCCCAAACAGAGGAAAAGCAGAATGGAGGGAAACCATGAGCTTCCACTTTCATATTCCCCCAGAGGAAGCCGTTTCAATGCCGCTATCTGGAGGCACAATAAGCCAAGTCATCCTTCAGCAGGTACCTGCACAGGTGTGGTTAAACGCAAATAGTGTAGTAACTAACTTAAGACATTTTAACAGAATTCTCACCCTATAATAAGCCTGTTCCCTTCAGAGTCTGAGGAGCACACAGTGACTCGGGAACACAGCACAGCATCTGAAACCCCGTAGACGGAATTTCCGCTTTTACACACAGTGATCAGCATTGCTCTCCCCACGGAGAGGTGGGGCTGCATATTTTTACAATGAATACGAGGCTGTGTATTATTTTTTATGATGAAGTAATACAAGACACCTACTTCATCCTGCAAATCCAAGGACTCTGCAACACCGAGACAGTGAAGTGGTGTATGTTCTCAGGAGGTCCCAGCCCACCTCAGCAACAGTCAAGCTGCCTGCTGGGATGACTGAATAATTAGCTGTACTGACAGGCACAGAGGTCCAACAATTCCCAGGACACCTGATCACAACCACTACAAGATAAGGGTGAGTCAAGGCCTAGACCAATAGAAAAAACATTATTTACAACCCTGATTTCATTGCGTATTTTGGTAACTGGTCAGAGATTCCTATGACAGTGTGCATCTTCATGTTTTGTGATTCAGTTAAAAAAACTTCAAAAGACAGGCTAGAAAGGACCTTTCCTTTTTTGCCTCGTTTTCTCAGGGTTTCTAATCAGTAGCTCCCCTAGTAGAATTTTTTTTACAGACATTTTTTACAGATTTACAGAATTGCTCATCTCCACTTCTCAAGAGCCCACCCTCTTTCTGGTTAAATGAATGGAAAAGGATCCCACCAACTGCAAGAGAAGTTGGAATGAGTCCCTGGAGACTTCTCCTGGAGAAGGAAAAGTACCTCAGAGAGAGGACAAGGAGGCAGATTCCCCATGCTCACAGAAGAAAAAAAACCAAATCCACCTTATTTAAAATCAATTCTTTCCACTCTTGCATTTATTTTTCCTTAAAAAAAAAACAGTCTTTGCAATCAAATCTCTTGTTTCTCCTTTCCAATTCAGTGGGATTGCTGCAAGTGCTCCATGGCACACGACTCCGGGGAAGCAGAGAAAGCGTACCACAAGTCAGTCGTATTTCCATAGGAAAAGTTGACTCAAAACTCATGTCATCCTTGAAATGCTGACACAGGTTTGTAAGACATATTTGAATATCAAGTCCAAGGAACAGCACTGTGGCTGGCTGAGGCCTGACATGGCTGCCTGGCTCTAGCAGAGCAGAAGGCCCTCCTTTGCCACCAGGCGCTGGCGATGGATTTTATCCTGCTGTAGCTCCTCATGGTTTGGATGCCAGAGTTTCATGACAATTCTCTCAATGTTTAGAGCGTAGACAGTGTGTGCAGGAATAACTTCTTTGTGCACCTGGAGATACATATTAGAAAACAAGTTTCATGCTTTCATACACATTTCCTCATATTGCCCATGGAATAACCGCCCACTACTAAAGGATGATCAGAGAGCAGAGTGCAGGCTGTCACACACAAGTAGAGCTGCCAGCGCTGCCACACCAACCAGCACAGAGCAGTGCCATCTTGTAAGGGAGTAGCATGGTAAGGAAATCATCATTTTGCCTTTACAATGACAAAAAAATCTTACAAACAACAATTCTGACATGAGATAAATGCTTGACAACAGCTTTTACAATGAACAGTCTCGCCCCCACAGCCCCAAGTTCACAACAGCTGAGATGGAGGGGGAATTTCTCCCACCTAACTTTAGACATTCAAAATAGTCTGAATGTCCCCAGAGCTGCCAGGGAGGAAGGGAACCACAGACATGCATCTCTACAGGAAGACTCACCCAGCCTGCTACCTTTGACACCTCCCCAGGGCTGGGGTGATCACAGCTAACCCACTGCAGCACCCAGCATGCCAGGACTAAGCATTCCTTCAAGTGCCCAGGTGGAACATGAGGAGCAAGGGACATGCCAGACAAGTTATTTCGCTGCATCACTGTCAAAAAAATCTCAGTTCAGCTCAGTTCTGATACAGTCACTGCAGTCTTGCTAGAGAGGAAGAGTTCACCCCGCTTATGTAGCTATAAGAAGAGACAGGGATTTCCTCATCAACTCTCTGACCACGGGAGCAGAACAGGCATTAAGCCATGAGCTGAATGTATCCTAGCAGTTACCTAGTAGTGGGAACAAATCAAAGGCAGAGAACTGTAAATTTGAGAGGGGAAAGAAGGAAACAGACTGCAGAAGAAGAAATCAAGCCTCCCTCCATGCACATAAACCAAATCCAAGACTGGTGACTGGCACTCAGGACAGCGCTGCCTGTGACACGACAGCGTAACACGAACAGCTTACCTGTAATGCCTCAAAAAGGTCATACATGTTCACTGGTGGGAGGGATGCTGGTAAGGTGTCTCCAGAGCAGGCGAGGAGCAGAGCTGCCTGCTGCTCAGCATCATCGGGCGGGGGCTGGGGGGTGAGACTCTGACCCGCAGAAGGTGTCGCAGAGGTTGGAGGGCTGGAGACAGAGCAGGCAGTAAAACTTTACGGTCAAGAAAATAGCACCGCCTTTGGAAGTCACACAGGAGGGCTCGGCCCCAGGGTTTGCTTTTCTGCATCAGTTGACTTCATCCTTACATGTGTAAAATTATTTCAGCTGTAATTAAAATCTCTTTAAAATTCCAGTTTAATAAAAACAGTGCAACCAATCCTCAACATGCTTCAAACGTGCTTTGTAACTGATACCGAGTGGGCAACTTTTTATTTAGTGCCCACAGCATCTACCCAGCACAAAAGTTAAGGCACCCACAACATTAAATTGAGATACATTAGCTGTTAGGCAGAGTTGTTTGGAGTGGATTGCATTTCTAGTGTTTGTAGTGTAATCAAATCAAATCTATAATCAAATCTTAAAACACCCACGACCTCCTGTCAACTGCCAGAAGCTCTCATAGACAAACACAACTGCTTTTTCATACACACATGCTGCCAGATGCACAGCACAAGCTGGTTGACATTGAGACTCTGGAAAACAAGTTAACCTTGAAGCTCTGCCAACCAAAAAGGCTTGCCAAGGAACCATAAATACATTTGGAGGTAAGAAATGACAGGATGGCAGTGTCCCACAGGTCTTCACTGACATTTCGTTCTAGTGGCACAACAGCAGCTCCCCCAGGAAGGCCAGGCTCTTCTGCCCAGGGACAGTTTCTCCAAAAGCAGCAAAATTCCTGTGTCATTCACAGGAATTTGTCTTCCAAAAAGCAGTAATTACTCAATATTCAGAGGGCCAGGGGTAACCTTCACAAATTGATGGACAAGCACAGGCAAGAAAGAGAGATTTAACAGTGTCCTGAACTCTGCTGCTGAGGAATGCCCACGTTCCCCCTCCCTGTTTAGCTGTACAGTCCTATGGACTGATACCTCCCCACCGTGTGAGAGCTAAACACCGCTATCAACGGGTTCTACTAAATCAAAAGAGACTCCACACTGTGTGGTAACTCTGGGACTAGCAAACTGCATTTGAAATCAGAAGTGTGCCGAGAGCTCCTTACCACTCAATTAGATTGTTATAAGCAACAACACTGTTCTTCAGATATGGCTGAGGGTTAACATTGCTTCCAAAGGCGTACTTGAAATGGCCATCCCTCAGACGATAGGCTTTCCGCCTGGATATCACCGATGTCAGAATATCCTTGAGATGGTTCTGCAACAGAAAACAATCTTATTCCACACGCTGAATATTTCACCCTACCAAGCCACAGCTGTGAGAAGCACCTCACCCAAAGGAAACAGACTGCAGAAGAAGAAATCAAGCCTCCCTCCATGCACATAAACCAAATCCAAGACTGGTGACTGGCACTCAGGACAGCGCTGCCTGTGACACGACAGCGTAACACGAACAGCTTACCTGTAATGCCTCAAAAAGGTCATACATGTTCACTGGTGGGAGGGATGCTGGTAAGGTGTCTCCAGAGCAGGCGAGGAGCAGAGCTGCCTGCTGCTCAGCATCATCGGGCGGGGGCTGGGGGGTGAGACTCTGACCCGCAGAAGGTGTCGCAGAGGTTGGAGGGCTGGAGACAGAGCAGGCAGTAAAACTTTACGGTCAAGAAAATAGCACCGCCTTTGGAAGTCACACAGGAGGGCTCGGCCCCAGGGTTTGCTTTTCTGCATCAGTTGACTTCATCCTTACATGTGTAAAGTTATTTCAGCTGTAATTAAAATCTCTTTAAAATTCCAGTTTAATAAAACCAGTGCAAACCAATCCTCAACATGCTTCAAACCTGCTTTGTAACTGATACCGAGTGGGCAACTTTTTATTTAGTGCCCACAGCATCTACCCAGCACAAAAGTTAAGGCACCCACAACATTAAATTGAGATACATTAGCTGTTAGGCAGAGTTGTTTGGAATGGACTGCATTTCTAGTGTTTGTAGTGTAATCAAATCAAATCTATAATCAAATCTTAAAACACCCACGACCTCCTGTCAACTGCCAGAAGCTCTCATAGACAAACACAACTGCTTTTTCATACACACATGCTGCCAGATGCACAGCACAAGCTGGTTGACATTGAGACTCTGGAAAACAAGTTGACCTTGAAGCTCTGCCAACCAAAAAGGCCTGCCAAGGAACCATAAATACATTTGGAGGTAAGAAATGACAGGATGGCAGTGTCCCACAGGTCTTCACTGACATTTCGTTCTAGTGGCACAACAGCAGCTCCCCCAGGAAGGCCAGGCTCTTCTGCCCAGGGACAGTTTCTCCAAAAGCAGCAAAATTCCTGTGTCATTCACAGGAATTTGTCTTCCAAAAAGCAGTAATTACTCAATATTCAGAGGGCCAGGGGTAACCTTCACAAATTGATGGACAAGCACAGGCAAGAAAGAGAGATTTAACAGTGTCCTGAACTCTGCTGCTGAGGAATGCCCACGTTCCCCCTCCCTGTTTAGCTGTACAGTCCTATGGACTGATACCTCCCCACCGTGTGAGAGCTAAACACCGCTATCAACGGGTTCTACTAAATCAAAAGAGACTCCACACTGTGTGGTAACTCTGGGACTAGCAAACTGCATTTGAAATCAGAAGTGTGCTGAGAGCTCCTTACCACTCAATTAGATTGTTATAAGCCACAACACTGTTCTTCAGATATGGCTGAGGGTTAACATTGCTTCCAAAGGCGTACTTGAAATGGCCATCCCTCAGACGATAGGCTTTCCGCCTGGATATCACCGATGTCAGAATATCCTTGAGATGGTTCTGCAACAGAAAACAATCTTATTCCACACGCTGAATATTTCACCCTACCAAGCCACAGCTGTGAGAAGCACCTCACCCATCGGCAAGACAAAAGTAGCACTGCTCTGACCACAAGGACCTAAAGATGTAAGGGAACCAAGATGGGCACAATTTACGGTATGTTTTCACACTGATAGAGTTGGATAGAGAGAATGTGGTACTGTGTGAGAGAGCACTGTATGCATTAGCCTGTGAACTATACTTTAACATGCAACTGCTGTTTCAAATGTCAAAGAGGTTTCTTAAATGCTAGGAAATTCCCAACCCCTGATCCCTTTGATAAAAGAGTTAAGAGACTTCACAGCTGGCACTAGATGTTACGCTTTTACTGAAATACTGGCTCTAAAACTACAGTGAAAAGCCACTCACTCTTTTTCAGACTGTTCAGTTGCCTGGAAAGTGCTGGAGAAACAGTTGTCTAAAAAAAAAAAAAAAACCAGCAGACAACTGCTGCTTAATTTGGCCTCACTCCCAGAGGAGGAATTCAGGTTGGCCTTCACATCCCGACTCCAGAAACCCATCCACACATCAGCATCCCAAGTATCATTCCCAGGATACGTCAGGTAGTGCATCACTGGGAGCACCAGCAGGCACTTCACCTGCAGACATTTCCCAATCCTGTCACTTTTTTTCACTTCCATGCCAGGTACTTTTGCCTCTAATGGATTATTTTATTTTTTATAGAGCTGTTTGAAGTGGAGCTCCTGTTCTGTCTCTGTGTTTAAGTGATAGGAACATCATTTTCCAGAACAGCTACTTAAGCACACCTGCAGTTCTTCATACGCAAGTACTTCAAAATTAACGCTTGCAGGCAGGAAGTCAAGACTCTACATCGATGATACCACAAATCTGGAATCCCTTTGATTCTCATCTTACTCCACCCAGGGCAAATGGGCAATTAAAGAAGCAGGTTTCCTCTTCCCACACAGAGCCTTCTGCTGCTGGTACAATGCTGGTTCTGCTGCCCGGCCCAGTCTCACCTCCACAGCATAAACAACAGCTGTCACTGCCTCCTCGGTCACATTGTCCAGCCCGTGCTCATATGCAGTTACGATCATTCTTCCTTCTAATTGGCCACGTGTAGGAAGCATCATGGTATGAGAACACAGCTTCAAATCGTCATCCTCCTGAGGGTCCTTTGCCACAAATTGCTGAGCTCCAGACAATGGATTCTGAGGCTGGAACCGGTGCTGTTACGAACACAACATTAGAGCATAAGATAAATACTGGGTCAGACCCTTCGATTCATCCCTTCTCCAATCAGAAAGCAAACACCTGTAAAAATGTATCATGGTAGGGCAAGCAGTGATATTCCTCCCCAGCATACTCTCCCAACCCACAACAATTTGGGACTGAAGAAATTTCTCAGCCAGTGTCAGTGCCCTTTTATTAAACAGCCCATGAACTTGTCATCCACCACCGAAACGTTGGGTATCCACAAGATCCTGCAGCAAGAACTCCTACAGTGTAATAACACACCATGAGGAGTCACCTCCTCTGGTTTGCTCTGAACCTCCCACCTGCTAGATTCATTTGATTCTCCTGTAAGTCTCAAATGTGGTCAGTCATTGTCCCTTTTATCTCTGTTCACACTACCCAGGCCAGCGATGATTTTATGGACTTTCACGTCTCTCAGCCACTTCCTTCTATGCTGAAGAGTTCTTGTCTATTTAGTCATTTCTTGTACAGAAGTGTGTTTTTTTTTTTACTTAATAACTGTACAGTTTCCATCGAGATTAAAAACCATGATCCTAAACTTATGTGTTTAAGTGATTCTTACATTTCTTTAAAACTTTAAGTGCAACAGCTTAGCTGAATTCCAGTTCTGAATTTCATAATTTAGTCTCCCCATGCACTTTCAATACTCTAAGCAGAGCTGTGTTACTGAGCACCTACTGATTCTGAGATGGATTTCGGCTATTTTTCAGAAGTGACCCAGTTATTTAGGAAAAAAAAAACAACCACATCACAGAACAGGAATTCATACCAGAAAGTGGCAATCCCCATTTCCCAGGCCACGTGTATTCCAGCACAATTCCCTTGATGTGCTTGTAGTGGCTCCCAGGAAGTGTCAAACCCCAGGTAAAGGCAAAAAAGTAAGCAGATGGGAATGACTGATCCTTAGGCCCAGACATATGCTTGGCCCAGCTCCAGCCCACAGGAACAACATGGCCCTGGCTCATCAAGTGCTCCCACAACTCCTGTCCCTCAGACAGGGGGGACTCCCTCAGACTCTTGCTGCACCAAGACAAACACATACTTTAAATATTAACAACGAATACACAGCAAAGTGGATTTCCCACATCTTAGTTTCAGGAGAGGAAGGGGGCTGCTTTATTCAAAGGACAGTATGGCATTTAACTCAGAGTGAAAAACCAATCCACCCACTAATGATGCGAAAGCAGGTTTTCCTCCCAGTAATTCTGAAGACTTATGTTTTCATTACAGGAAAACTGCATGCCTGGAAGAAGAGACTTTTGAAATGTAAGCAACTCTTAACAGGAATGTGGTTTGGGAGAGCAGAAACCAACTGGGAGGAATATATCAAGGCACTTCAAAATCACACTACTCTGGAGTTTGACTAGTAATAGACAAGCCCATTAATCATAACTTAAAAGCCCATACAGTACTTACTACAAAGCATTCTGGGAACACATGAATAAACACACACTAGAAATGTGGTACAACACAGGGTTATCTGAGTATATTGAATTCCAAGACTCCTACTACGTCATGACTTGCTTCTCAAACTCTCCTCTACTTGCTACCAAAAAGTTACCGTGAAGTTTTAAAACAAAAAGATAACACAGATGGCCATCAGGATTCAAATCGCAACAGTGAACACTGCAAAATATTTCAGCAGTTCCCAAATACAAGGAGCCTTCAGCTGGACTCACATCCCTTAGAAACACTAGTTTGTGAAGCACACACACACAATGCCTAATTATAATCCCTGGAAGCGCAGACTGCGCTTTGGCTGAGCCAAGGTAACTTCTCACAGTGTAAACATGGGAGGCTCCCCCTGCCCACCCTTCTCCCCCATCCCCAGCCATAGAGCTGCCCCTTCTTCCTTTGGCATTCATCCAACCACAAGGAATGCTGATCAAGCTGAATAAACCAGCAAGAACAACTTGGGGTTTGGGATGTTTTTTGCTTGGTTAGTTCTCTGCCTTGTCAGAGAACTGAACCAGACAACAACATGCCCAGACACCTAATAAATCTGTCTCAGTAAGTGACAGGCACTCTCCTTTTCAACAAAATGTTAATTCAGTTCGAACCATCTTCTCAAACTCTGCCCATGGAAGACAGTGCCCCATCCCAATCCTCTTTCACACTAGGCCACTGATCTGGCAGCACAGAAACATGTAAACCAGGTGTGTGACAGTATCAGAGGAATGTACAGGCTTCACTGCAAAATAAGCTCTCTCTCATGCATTTCTCTGCCACATACCAGAAGACAGCATTTTTGCAAAGTATTTTCCAATTCCAAAACAACTTGACCATCTAAAACTTTCCACCCAAGGAACATCTTACTTCTAACCCTTTGGACTGTAGAGTTCTGCAGAACAGATCATACAATCATGGAATTCTGCCTGAATAAATAGGAAGTCACTTTTGCTTCAAGAATTCAGCAGATGCGTGAAGTGGATTCCTGGAATAGAACTCTGACATTTAGGTGTACTTCCATGGATTCTCTGGCATCTAACAAAGCCAGGTCATACCGTAGCCTTTCTCCCAACAGGCTTCCACAAGACAGGCAGTAGCTACTAACTCCCAGCTTCTGCCCCAAAGCAGAACTCAAAACAAATATAACACACATCATTGCATGTGATGGGCTTTCATCATCCCTGGTAATAACAAAAACTGCATGCTTTGCAGAGCTCTTCAGCCCCAACAGAACATCTGAGCGCCACCACCATTTGACCATGGACACTTACATCAAACTTTTGACGAACCGAAGAAATCTTTTTCTTTCCTTTGGGTTTTCCAGGTTTAGTTGCAGAGCCAGCTGGCCATGGCAGAGATCCAGCACCTTCTACAAATTGAAGAGAAAGAAAACCCACACTCAACAGGTGTTGCTGATTTAAGGTCAGTATGAAACTGTCCAGACAGGAAACCCCCTAACATTTGGCCCCTGGCTAAGGCTTAACCCAAAACCAACAGCCATGGCCTAGAGGAAGGGCTTCTCAGAGGAGAACGCTTTCGATAGCCCTTCCTTTGTCAGACCCAGCCAGCTTGACTAACTCATGACCCATTACTTAAGTAGAAATTCATGTCCACGCAAAAACCCACGTCAGAAGGGATGAGCACAGCCCCCCAAAAAAAGCTACAAGGAAGGAACAAGCCATTTGTTCCATCAGGAAGATGACAGGAGCTTGCCCAGAGGGTGACTGTCCTCCCACCAGCCCCTGGATCAGGTCAGATTCTAACCAGCAGCATGGAGCAATCTGACTCTTTACATCTGCCTTTACACTTCCCCATCAGCCTTAGCAAGCTCAGTCCCAGAACCCTGTTAAACATCACGGCTGATCGTTCTCGTTACAGCGAGGGGAAAGTAGAGGGGGGAAGAACTGCAGAGGCCACCAAGCCCAGGAGCAGGACAACACCAACACGGCCAGTGAGCTTGTTACTCACCAGAACTGGCAAGCAGCTGAAAGAGAGATTACCACGTAGTACCAATAAATAAATACATTTGGCCACATCAAGTGGAGAAGGCTGCTCAAAAGCCATCTGTATGGAGTGTTTGACAGCTACACCTACAGTAGGCCACACCACATCCTGATAATCATGTAGCCCTTGGCAAGGTCAGCCTAGCAGACTTCCTGCTAAGTGGTTTATGGGATCCGTGCACACTTCCTTCAGGCACACTGGGGCTTAAGACAACTTCACATTGGATGCGTCCACGCCTGCTGACAGTCACCAAGCAGTGCAACCCAAAGACTGGACAGCCCTCTTGTGGCCACAGAGGCAGCCGCTGCTCTGTCTCACCAGTATCTCCTGCCCTTGGATCTGCACAGCAAGGGAGCAGCCTTTTTCCTTTGGAGCAGAGCCTGCCCAGTGTCGGGGGCTTGCCCACCTCCAGGGAGCTTGGACAATTCAGCTCTGAAGGTCCTTCAGTTGCCTCTGAAGCTGAAGCTGTGCTACCAGGAGGTGCTGACAGCACAGCAACACCTCAGACGTTCCTCGGCCGCACCTGAACCAGCATTTGCCATTTCCTCTAGACACAGACAAGAATTTCACTGAATTTCACTGAATTTTAGAGTTGGAAGGGACCATAGAGATCATCTAGTCCAACTCCCCTGCTGAAGCAGAATTGCCTAGAGCTAGAGCATGTTACTCAGGACTGCATCCAGGCGGGTCTTGAAAATCTCCAAGGAAGGGGACTCCACAACCTCCCTGGGCAGCCTGTTCCAGGGCTCTGTCACCCTCACCGTGAAGAAGTTTCTCCTCATATTTGAGTGGAACCTCTTATGTTCCAACTTGTGCCCATTGCCCCTCGTCCTCTCACTGGGAACCACTGAAAAGAGTCTGGCTCCCTCCTCCTTCAACCCTCCCTTGAGATACTTGTAGGCATTGATAAGGTCTCCCCTCAGCCTTCTCTTCTCCAGACTAAAGAGTCCCAGCTCTCTCAGTCTCTCCTCATAAGGGAGATGCTCCAGTCCTTGAATCATCTTTGTTGCCCTTCGCCATCCCAGAACTCAGCCACCCTCAGGCACGTTCACCAAGTACTGACAAACAACCAGTTCTGTCTCTCTCCTGCTACCGCAGGCTGCCACAGCTCAGCACCAGCTTCACACCAACCAACACATTTCCCTCCAGCTCTTGCAACTGTGTTTAATTTGCTGTAATCAGGAATTCATAAATGCAGGTTACTAGAGCCCAGTTCTATAAAGAAGAACGCTGCCTGGAAGACTTTGGCTACATGGAGCTTCCCCAGGCCCGTGGCTGGAGCGTAAGTACAGTGTCCTCTACCATGAAAAACACTTCTAAAGCATGATTTTAAGGATCAGAAGATTCAGGTGAAGTTTGTGAATGGTCAGCTGCTAAGAAGGGGTTAGAAACAACCCCCCACGCACACACAGATGACATTCTCACTATATAAAAAAAGTTTATTAAAAAGTTTAGCTACATCGCATTAGTGAGGTGAAAACCAATAGTCTTCAACAAACCCTGTTGTTGAAATCCACCCATCAATTAGAGGAAATTAAAAGATAATAAATAAACCCTCTCCAAAAACCATAAATCTGAAGCCACTACTCATCAGTACAACATCGCAGTAGAGGTCTAACAAGGGGGTGTGGGAAAACACTGTGGACAATGATCTCAAGGACCATCAAGATCTCAGTACTTACATTTTAGGATCTAGCAACATAACACTACTTCTCTCACAGGATGTTTTGCTCTTTACAGACAATCCCTTCTTCCTCCTCCTCCTCCTCCCCTCCAGAGCAGGTCAGATCCCTTCTAGGCAGGGGGGATTAAGTCTGTTAAGGACAGACACAGAAGTTACCTGGCCCATAGCAAAACTTTCAATAAAAGCACATTTTTGTAGCTCATAATGTCACTCCAGACCTTTCCTCCTTGCCAGAAGTCCCATACAGCTGCTTCACGGCCTTCACTCAAGTATCCTAATTAAACACATGACTAAGTGGCAGAGATGAAGTGGAACAAAAACAACAGCAAAAGCAAACAACTCCCTGACTATCTCACAACATACTACAGATGAACAGGTTATAGCAGAGTCCAAATTGTAAAAATATCTTATTTTAAAAATAACATAGTGACCTTTAAACAGCAACTAAATATTTAGACCTTGACATCAGACCCAGAAAAATGCAGCTTAATTGACTCTCAGCCTGCACATTTAACAAAAACTTAGCCAGACTTATCTTAGAACAAGGGAAAGCTAAGATATTATCTGCAATTCTCCGTTACAATGACCCCAGAGCAGATTATTTTATTTTTGGCTCATTGTCCAGGTTTTAATATTACCAAGCCAGACTTGCACTAGATGAGGAAAGCAAAATTTCCCTCTAGTATTCTAAGAAAACCAGTACTTGCCTTCCTGGCCACAAATGACAAAGCTGGGGTGGCTCAGGCATGCAACTTCAGAGATGTTAGCAGTTCTTATTTAATCTTGCTAGCAAGACAATCAGATGTGAACAAGCCACAGCAGTGACTGTGGATATGCCTTCAAAGATGAGCGACAGATACAAACATTTTTCTAAGAGCTGCCCCATCTCTGCGGCGGTGGCACCAGACAGAGGGCGTCAGGTTTTCCTGACGTGCTGCACCAGATCCACACACAAGGAAAGGACAGAGATACAGAGAAAGTCACAACAGAGAACAGCAGCCAGGCACAGGAAACATGCCTTTTCCCACCCTCGTTTATTTGATCTTCAGTATTTTTTTTTTTTTTATCTTCCTGCAGGGACAAGGGTCTAGTCAAATATATTCCAATGGCTCTCCTCTGTCAACAACTCATACTCCCATTTTCTTCATTTTCCTCCTTTAACCAGCTCCCCGGAAAGAAGAGGAACACAAGCAACCTGAGCCCATCTCACAGTTGGCAGCTCTTCAAGCAAAGCCTGTGGGCAATCCTGAGACAATAAAATGCTCCTGCTATCCCAGCAAGAGTTCCAATTCACTGAGCCATCTCTTAGTTTGCTCCAGACTACTAGTAAATAAATTAAATAATTACATCACTAACTCAAGTGCTTGCAATTGTCTCGGTTTTAGTGTTAACATTTAGCTAAGGAGGGAGTTAAAGTTCAAGTGAGAGATGTATTAACGTAAGAAACCTTGCTAACTTGATTGCTTGCGGTCGCCCAAGAAACAAGCTTAGGAAGTAACTCCATGCAAGGTTAAGAGAGGCTTTAAACTGGAGCTCCTCCTGATGGAATTTTTTGGGGGAAGAAAAACCCCAGACATAAACATTCAGAAAAGCACTTCTGAAAACATTGGTAAAAAGAGAATACCGAAGAAAATTTTGTTGTGGTGGGAAGTGTGCCACACCACTTGGGCTGCTAGAACCAACCTCAAACCAACATTAAGACACTCTCTAGTAACTTGGATAGTATGTTTCTGGGAAGTTTCTTTTCTCCAGGCACTTTCACAGCTTGCCAGCTATGTTACAGCTGGGTGCCACTCCCGTATTTCTGGGTGTCTTTACAAACACAGCTACCAGAGGGAATAACATCACCTATTTTTAAAAAGGGCATAGAAGTCAGATTTAGGATTGCTCAGGATCCTGCCATGCCCTCAATGGGAGCTCAGCAGGAATTAAAGCAACTAGTCATTCCTCACATTGGAACAGACATGAACATTCCTCCCTCTCCACCAAATCCTAAATATCCTGTGCCTAAATATCAACAATATAGATGTATGTATCAATATATGCCTAAATATCAACACAGGCCATTGAACTTGGATTTGACGTTTACATGACCAACAGCCTAAGCAGATGAGGGGGAAACGGAAAGGGTTCTCAAAGGGTCACATTCACCCAGTGTTCCCTTATAAGGCCAGGTGGAACCACTTCTACCAGAGACAGCAAAATTTAGATCAGATGGGTTTGTTTGCATGGTTCAACATGTGTTGCAATCACTCCTTAAACGGCTTCCTATTCCAAATACCACAATATCAAGTACACTTTTGATACCGACCACACCAGTTTTTAAAAATAGAACCGTTTTTAAAATGCCAGTTTGTTTCTGCCTTATCTCTCTTACAGAGGTGGAAAGTACATGCATCAGTAACCCTTGTGATGGCGTACCAGGCACATCAAGCACACTTCAAAGTTACTTGTTTCCATGAAACAGGAAATCAACACCTTCTACCCAAAAGGCAGTGGTGGGGACAAAAGCCTGTTAGCTTTCCATTCCTACATGGTGGGGGGATGGGGGGAGAAAAAATAGACAATAAAAAATTAGCAGGTGTCAGACCAGGATCTAGGGGGAGAAAAAAAAAATCTAGACACAACATGTAGTATTCCACTCATACTGCACTTCCCTGGGTTTGCACATACAGTCTGCTATGACCCACACAGCAAACTGACAAGGAAAACGTGTAACAGATCTACCAGTCAGTGGCCCAGAAAGAGGTATCTCACTACAGATTAGCTCCAAAATCCTTGGGAGACTCTGCATTGATCTGAGGAGAACAAAACAGACTCCAGAAGGGACTAGCAGCATGTACTGTTAACTGCAGTGGACTAAACCATGTCTTTAGGTCATACACAATTGAACTGATTTTTTTCAAGCTGGCTTACACAGATCTGTGGAGAGAGCCAACAAAAGCCTGCCTGAAAGCCCTGGAGGTGACCAGCTGGTCAGCACTTGGTAAAGTAGCTGGTGAGCTAGCACTCCATTACATGATGTAACCCACCTGATGAAGCCCTGCAAACACAGGTTCTTCAAGGGCTTTTAACGAGACTAAGCTTCAGTGGGGCAACAGGAGAAGTCCTTAGCAAGCACTTGAAATTAAAAAGGTCAGGCAGGAAATAATAAGCGTACAGAAGACACCTGTGGAACACCACACAGCTTTGTGGTGGGGCTCATACTTTTAACACATTCCTAAACAACTTTGAAAAAGGGGGTACTGGGGTAGAGTTTGCTGATAAACCTGAGCTATTCAAGGCAGATGATGTCTGACCAGACCGCTGCAGAAGAGCTGCACAAGACTAAGTGACTGTACAGAGACAAATGAAACTCAACACAGTTAAGCACAGAGTGGGGCACACAAGAATGAACAACCCCAACTTCAGTCACACAGCGACAGGCCCTACCCTGACTATTGCCACTCAGAAACAAGACCTCTGGGCTACCACCTCTACTGCAACACTCGCATCAGCCCAACACTGAGCTCAGAGAGCACAGGGACTCTCTACCTGCTCCTCCTAATTTACACTCAGTTACTTCAGGTAATACTCACAAGGGAATCACTGTTCTTGTGCTTTCTCTTTATAGCCCAGTTCTAAGTACTCCAAGTAAAAAGCAAGGAGCAGCAAGATTTAGACATAAATTTTCTGAATTACAGGACCCCTAAAGAGGGCAAGTCTAGGGCTCAAAAGGTGCTTGTAAAGAGCAAGTTGGAGATGGGGAGGTTAGCATTTAATTAGCACAGCTGGTATAATTAAGGCCCAGCTACAACACAAAACACGGCAGGCAAGCCACACATTTTGCATTTTTCCTTCTTCCAGCTACATAAGGTACTCTAATAACACATATTCTCTTATCACAAAAAACTCATCTCCCAGGGTCAGCCCATCAGAGCCTTAACAATTTACTCTCCCTTGCTACACAGCAGTTTCACATCTTGAACTGCAGCTCAACTGTCCTTCCTATCAGATCTCTGGATTGAGAGCTCTCTTGAAGACCAAACGAAACCTATCTTGCAACCCTGACTGCAGCCTAAATGCTTACAAAGTTAAAAGGTTAACTACCTGCAGAAGGTTGGGCTACTTGCCCATAGATCAATCAAGACTCACTGTAAGCATTTTTCTATCAGATACATACTTGATTTCAAGATCAGTCCAGAAAATCCAGCTCCCCAAAATGATATCCCCAGCAGAGATAAGAACAAAGAGCATCACCAAGTTGAGAAGAAAGCGGAATTGGTAAGCAGAGCAGCTCAAAGGCAGAGCAACATCTCTCTTTACACTTCAGCTCACAGCACACACCCAGCCCAGAAATCAAACCAGCTTAGCACACACAGCAATCCAGCAGTAGCCTCTCATCAAGCACACACAACCTGTGCATAAAAAGCATTTCTGCTGAAACCAGCCAAATCACTACTTTGCTACTCTTCTGCCTGTGTGGCACAAAGAACATGAATATTGAAGCTCAGAAAATTTGAGTCCTTTGTACAAAACCCACCAAATACACACGTGGCAAAGCTTTGCTACCTGATTGTTCTTAATGAGGCTTCTCAGGACTTACCTGGTGCAGAAACCAAGATCTGGCATCGGGTAAGAATAGCCAGGAGGAAATCGTTGTGAGAGTGGACTGTGTAAAGACAGGACAGTTCATCAGCAACACATCAGTGCCCAGGGCCCCCCCTAAAAGCAATCTTGAAGTAGCTCACTACACCTTTCCACTGCCATGTTTTCCCCACATGCTTAGCTACATAGGTACAGCTTTAAGGTTTTTTGAGGGTTTTCTTCTACTGCACCCAGAATCTGCTATTACCACACTAACAGGATACTAACACATGGCACAGAAACAAGTGAGGTCATTCTCAGTGCACCATACACACAAATCCAGCCCTACAGCACACAACGCGAAACACCTGGTGTATTGAGCCAGTGAGAGGAGGATCAGCTGTCCCTCCTGCCACACAGATTTCTGGTAGCAAGGCTTTGGCTTTGCTAGAAAACAACCAGGAAGAGCCAGCCCCAGGAAGGTGAAGTTCAGTCAAATAATTTCTAGATAAAATGCAACTTCCTCACAGGAAGGTTCAAAACAGAGAGCAAGTAATTACAAATTAGAAAGAGCCAAAATAAACTTCACAAGCTGGGTCAGAGGGCTGCAGGATCCTCTTTGGCCTTTGAACCCGAGCAGTGAGAAATCCCCTGACCCTCCCCACAGGGATCATGAAGGTGAAAGTCGGGCGTCCCCATGGTGCTCTCAGCAACTCCCACCAATGTTTGCAGACCCACACTGAGGTAATTACAAAAGAGTCTTGCCCTTCAACGCTCCAGTCTGCCACCCCCAAAGGCCAGGAAGGGGATGTGCCCACTGCATGATGGCCTAGGTGAATTCAGGGGTTCCCTTCCCCGCTTCAGCCACAACACCACTTTAGCCCCAACCAAAAGGAGAACGTAGTAAAGAAAGGACTGGGTCTTTCTGGTAACATAAAAAAATATCTCTTTGGTTGCTGGGACGGCATATTTTACCTGCTGACTGTATTTACACAACACCAAATTGCCTGTCAGTGTCAAGGCCACAATAAGACTTCCCACTGCAAGCCAGGGCACCTCCCACCTTTTTAACTCCACTGCAACCCCAGACCTGGCCATTCTTATTTCCCTCACAGCAATTTCCCTGTTTGGGAAACAGCGTGCAGCAGGGAGGAGCTCCCTCCAGGCCTCCAGCAATAGGGCCAGCATGAAAACAAACACAAGATGTCTTTTTACCATTGTCTTGTGTGAGAAGCCTGCGTGCTTCCAGGTCAAACTCCTCCTTACTGATCTTTTGCTTGAACCAGAGCTTCAAGTTGGCCCAGTACCTAGGGGAGAGCGGGGACGGTGTAGACGTCAAACGAAAAACGTTGCTCGTAAACCCACTGCTTTCCCCCCACCAGCGCAAGGCGGCCCAGGCCCGCGCTGAGGTTTCCACAGAGAGGCGGCAGGGCCCAGGCCTGGCCCAGCGCCGCCCTCTCAGGCCCAGCCGGGCGGGACGCCTCCACCGCGGCTCGGCCTCACCCTCCCTCCCTCCCTCCCACCGCACTCACTGCTTCACGTTCTCGCCCAGCGCCTCGCTCAGGCTCTTCTTGGCCGCCTCCAGCTCGCTCACGTAGGTCGCCATCCCCGCCGCCACCGGAGAGACGCGGGGAGCAGCGGGTCAACTCGCCTCACCGCTCGCCCCCCCTCCCCGGGCCAAGGCCGCAAAGCGCGACAGCAGCCGTAAAGAGCGGCGGCCGCGGGGAGGGGCGGTGGCGGCGCATGCGCAGAGAGGCGGTCGGCCCCGTCGGCGCAGGGAACGGGGGCGGCGGGCGCAGCCATAGCCATGCCGGGACTGCTGCTGGGCGACGAGGCGCCGAACTTCGAGGCGGAGACCACGCAGGGCCGCATCCGCTTCCATGACTTCCTGGGAGACTCGTGAGCGCCGGGATGGGGGTGAAGGGGGCGGGGGGGATGATCGGCGGGAGGTTGGGGACCTCCGCAGCACACACACACACACCCCCCCCGACCGGAGCATCTCTCCGTGGGACGGGCTGAGGGTTCGGCCTGCAGAGGAGAAAGCTCCGGGGAGATCTCGTAGCAGCCTGCCAGCACCTAGAGGGGGCCGACAAGAGAGATCATAGAATCACAGAATGGTTAGAGTTGGAAGGGACCGTAAAGATGGGGGCAGACTTTTCATAGGGCCTGCAGTGATTGGAGAAGGGGTAGTGGCTTGAAACTGAAAGAGAGGGGATTCGGACTGGATGTAAGGAAGACGTTTTTTCCAGTGAGGGTGGTGGAACACTGGCACAGGTGGCCCAGAGAGGTGGTAGGTGCCCGATCCCTGAAAACGTTCAAGGTCAGGTTGGATGGGGCTCTGAGCAAACTGATCTGGTTGAAGATGTCCCTGCTCCCTGCTGCAGGGGTATTGGACTAGATGACCTTGAAAGGTCCCTTCCAATCCAAACCACTCCATGATCAGTGTGAAAGTCCAGCTCAACCCTGAGTGGGAGCCTCCCACAGGCATGTGACCAGCGTGAGGAGGCAGAGTTGGGCCAGTCTGTGCCTCGGGCTTCTTCCAGAGATTATTTTTTTTCCCCATTGAGCCACAGCAGCAGCCTTCACGGGTGTGCTCTGGGGGCAAGGGGAGCCATCCCACCTGGGCCAGGCAGCTGGGCACTGTGGTTTTGCAGGGGAGCATGGCAGTGGGGCACAGATGAGCCCCTCTGAGCGAGCAGAGCCACCTCTCCCCATCTTCCCCCACCCCTTCCCACAGGCTGCACGAGCCCTCCAGGAGAGGGAAGAGCTGCTCTGGAAACGGCAGAGCTCAGGGAAGGGCAAAGCCAGCCTTGCCAGAGCACCACTTAGTCCAGGGCAGTGCCAGGAGACCAGCTCAGGTGTCACCTGTGTCCCTTGCGAGTGAGCGCAGGCACGTGAAGGTGTGTAACCGAGCAGCAGCACAGGGCTCTGGCCCCGTTGGAGCCCCGAGTGGAAAGCCACATACCTTCAGGCGCTGTTTCCTGCAAAGCCTGTTGCTCCATTCCTGGCAAAAGCAGGAGGGTGCTGGCACAGCACAGCACAGCACGGCTGGGACTCGCTCCCGGCAGCGCTTGGCAGGCTTGAATCAGCATTTGAGTCCGCTTCTGTCGGCGTCGTGAGCTTGGGCAAATGGGGAAAAAGGAACCCTTTTAGCAAGAAAATAAGCTGCATGCCTTCTTAAAACTGGCTGTTCCAGCCCGATCACCCACATGGCAGCTTGCTTGGCCAGCTTCTGCTTGGTTGTTTGCTGCCTTTTTATTCAAGTAGTATTCTTATTGTATAGAGAGGCTCGTAGCACCAGTGGCCAGGTAGCTGCCCCGGTAACAGGCCCCCGCAACCCTGGTAGAGCTGCAGAGTGCTGTCTTCATCCCTCCAGCTCCCTTCCCAAATCTCTGAGACAGGACTTTCCCCAGATCCTTTGGCACGTGGCTGTGTTTCCTGACCGCTGAGGTGAGGAGCGGTGCAGTAAGCCCTGTGAGCCTTGAGCTGAGAAATGATGCGACGAGTCCCTGGCAGGGAATTTCAAGTGCTGGGGGTGGCTTTGCCTTAGCCCCTGGAAGCTCCTGAAAGCCGTTTTGCGATAAGCCCATCTCGCTGCTGAGCTGCATGGCTGCCTTCCTCTGTGTGCTGGTTGCCTTACCTGTAAAGTGGGGTGACTTGTATTTGCCTGCTCTAAGGACTGCAAAATCCACTGATGGGAAGTGATGGGCAAAAGTGAGGAGGCGGTTTTGCTGTGACTGTACCCATAATGTGATGGTAACATCTGGCTTCCCCCATTAGTTGATTATTTTGTATTTTTTCATGAAGTATGTTCGGCAGCTCATGGCAGCGGCTGGGATAAGGTTCAGTCCTGTCCCATTCTTTTAAGTTGCAAGATACCCAGGGGTGTTTCTCCTCACAGTGGTTGATGAGGAGGTCTACAGGATCATGAATAGCCTTGTAAATCAGTACTGATCTCTGCAATAAGGTGGTCGGCGAGTTGGTATCTATGTGCCCTTGCACATGTGGCTTCTAGCGATAGGGAAGGATGTGTTCCCAGCACAGGATTTCCACTTAGCAGAGAGATGAGCTGTTCCTGCAGACTGTCTCTGTACACTGCAATCTGTACAGCTTTTTGTCTTCAGTACAAACCAGAATGACATCTCGCCCTACTGCCATCTCCTCCTTTCATCTTTCAGATGGGGCATCCTCTTCTCCCACCCGCGGGACTTCACCCCGGTCTGCACCACAGAGCTTGGCCGGGCAGCGAAGCTGGCGCCCGAGTTCAGCAAGCGCAACATCAAGATGATCGCCCTCTCCATTGACAGCGTCCAAGACCACCTCTCCTGGAGCAAGGTACGGGCCATGGGGAGGCACAAAGGGGAGGTTGTGCTGCTACCTTGCTCTGAAGGCCAGAGGAAGAGCCCACATAGAACAGAGCACAGACTCTGAACTACATATTTGCTGAGGATAATGTTGTAAGACATTTGAATCTCAAAGCACGTAGGATAGGAGGTGCTAAAACAGAGAGCAGGAGCAGGAAGGTCTGCTCCATCTTCATGGAGCACTCCACAAAGTCCAGAGGGCTGTATACACTGCCACTTTAAAACAAGAGGAAAACAGTATTACTGCTCTCATGCCACGCCTGAAAGGGTAAAATGTGTGAACACGGTGCCAAAAGCTCAGAGGAAGGCAATCTATCCACAGACCCTCAGAAAGTTCTGTAATAAAACAGGAAAGGAGGCGTCAGAAGTGAACCGGCAGTCTTCAAAGGGTGCAATTCATGCCCAGGCAGGGAAGAGAAAACAGAGAACAATCAGGGGCATGTTAAACATAAAGCCACAAATAGGATCGTGTTAAATATAAAACCATCATAAGGGAGTATAAAAAAAGATGGGAATGAAATAGCTTTGCTGAAAGAACATAAAAGGAACTTCACATGCAGCCTCAGCAGTGGTGTGCTGCCAGGGGGTATGACTCCAGGGCTCATAAGTAATAGGGGCATAAAATGAGCATTTCAGACAGATATGGCCAGAGTTTAAAAGTCCCTGAGTGAATTACTTGCCAGAGTTTAAAAGCCCCTGAGTGAATTACTTGCCTCTTAAAATAGGGAACGTTCTCACACATTTTCCAGGGGTGAGGCCTGCATGCAATAAGAGGTAGTAAAGGAGAAATTTCCACACTGAAATGTTGTTTCATGTCTGACTGGCTTAGAAATTACCTAATTGCCTTATTGCTTAAATTGACCTTCGTACCCAAGTGGCGCATGGCTCATGTCCCACCAAACCTCAAAAGAGCTTGGGAAAAACAGCATACAAATACCACACCTGTTAATGAAGTTTCTGCACTGGTCAAACTGGCTGAAACCACCAGTCAAATTAGCAGATAATATTTTGTTAAATATAATGGAAAGTTTGGGGTTTGCTTTTGTAAGGGAGTCTCCTCTCCCGGTTGGCTAGATCCATTTGAAGAACTATAGGGTATTGCTGACTTGTACAAAGTCCTTGAATTCACATCAAAGACATCAGCTTTGTGAAGGGCAGGCTCCTTTCTGCAGAGGGACAGGAGAAAGGGATAGGTTGTGCCAAGGGAGGGAAGTGGTGAGCTCCCTTGAGGGTCTGCAGGGATGTGTGGGGTTCAGCACGCTCAGGCGATCTGGAAAAGAGATAAACCACGAGCTGACTTTGCTGATGCTGCGGGATTATTCAGCGCAACCTCAAGTAAAACCAGAAGTTGCAGAACAGCTTCTTGATGCCGATTGATGGGAGGCAGAGTAGCACGTTTGGAAAACCTTCCAGAATGAACACGGAGAAAGGCAGAGGGAAGTGATCCAAGCTGCAGTGAGCTTTCTGTCAGGCTGGGAGAGGCCTCAGAGAGGGTAGTTTGGAAATGTCAGCTCAGCACCTGTCCAAAAGGAAACCATGAAAGTCCTCCAAAGTAAGATCCCATTGGTATGGGCAAATCCATAGCACATAGCAGCCTGGAGTCTTCTATGCAGCCTGTGTTTGAAATTGCCCATCTCACAGGCTACAGGGGAACAAGAGAAAGTGCAGAGAGGGAGCAAAGCTGCCTGCGATTGCTCTGCTCTTAGACCTTGCCTGTACATGTGATCCTTTTCCTTTGTCCTTGACAAAGCAGAGAAGAACTTCAGATAATGAACAAAAGAGCTGAACTAGGAAGGCGGGTGTTAAGGCCTGCCACAAGTCTGAGACCAGGGGCAGTGCCCCTGAGGTTCTCCTGCCCAGCCATGGGGAAAAAAGGAGCTTAACAGAGACAACAGCCTTGGCAGAAGCTGCCTGGCTGGACAAAAGCAGTCTGCATTAAATGCTAGATTGGGATCTAGAAACTGCAATTTGTTTCACTAAATCTTAACTTAGAGAGAAGTCCTAAAAGCAAGTAAAACTTTGGGCAGCCACAACTCTCTGTGCAGCCACAACTCTCTGTGCAACGTTCCTTTACATACCTGCTCTCTCTTTGGATGAGGCTCCCAGCAGTACTAAAAGGATGAAGCTGTTTTCATCTGGAACACAGCCTGTGAGGAAGCAAGTAGGCCGGAGGGATGGCTGAAATCCTGTATAAAACAGTAAAGAAACTTCTGCTTGCTTTGCTGCCGAATTTCAGTGGGCAGATGGGGCCTAGAAA